CTATGAGTGGCTTCAAACTACAAGAAAGGAGATTCCATCTGAACATTAGGAAGAACTTTCTTGACTGTGAGAGCTTCAGCAGTGGAACTCTCTGCCCCAGAGTGTGGTGGAGGCTACTTCTTTGGAAGCTTTTAAACAGAGGCTGGATCGCCATCTGTCAGGGGTGCTTTGAATGCAATTTTCCTGCTTCTTGGCAGAGCGTTGGACTGGATGGCCCATAAGGTCTCCAACTCTATTATTCTATGATTCTATGGTCTCATGAAACCCTCTTATAGTGCTGAGGCAATGGGAATGTTGGGAGGGGAGAGGCTGACTACTCACGAAAGATGTGACAATAAGCCTCTTGACTGCTGCTTCTCCTCCTTTTCCCTCCCCCTGAGCGGAGCCGTTCCATGTGGCACCTGGAAGCGAGGGCGCCTTGGTATATATGTTGTTAGGCCTATTCCTGGGTTATTTAGGGTGCTGATTCAGAAAATGCATTGGATAGACCACATCAGCTCTAGATTATTATATACGGTTTTCTGTAGGCAAGCAGATGGTGACTACACCAGAAACTAGAGCTGATGTGGTCTATCCAATACAATTTTTCTGAATTAGCACCCCAAATAACCAAACCAAATTTAAAACTGACCAAAAACTGATTCTAACTCTTTTGGTACTAATGTGGGAGAGTGGTCTCTGGTCAAAAAAAGGTTGGGAACCACTGCTCTAGTGGGACATTTTGGAAGCTACTACAGCCTATCATAGATTTTAAACTGTCTGCTGGACCAACAGGTCTTTCTCTACTTTATATCTGTCTTGAAGAATCTGTTAGAAAATGGTTTTGCAAGAACTCATGAGAAAGGCCAAGAATTAAAAGGAACATTCATACAATCCTGTTGTAGGAAGAGGTTAATGAAGAAATGCACAGAGCAAAGGCATTTCTTGCTCCATATCAGACTGCTTTCTATTCTAATAACAAATATGGCCCCCTCTACACTGCCATATATTCCAGATTATCAAAGCAGATAATCCACACAGCCATATAATCCAGTTCAAAGAAGATAATCTGGATTTTATGTGGCTGAGTAGAAGGGGCCTAAGTGCTGTGAACGATTCTGTTTTCTGAATATAGCTTCTAAACTTCTAAAAGCTCCTGTTTTCTGTACCAGAGTTAGCTTGTACATTATGCAGACTCTGATCTCTGGATGCCATGTTTTTAACATTGGAATGTATTTAAATTATGTTTAATATGTATTAATTTTAATCTAATTTATTTTTAAGTTAACATTGTATGTTTTAAGGCACTGTAAGTGCCACATGTAAACCGCCTTGAGTCCCCCTTGGGTAGAGAAAGGCAGGATATAAATAAATAAATAAATAAATAAATAAATAAAAAGTGCATGCTATATATTTCAAGGAAATTTAGTTCTAGTTAAGCGAGTATGGGATTCTAGTTTTATATAAAATTAATAATGAATCTATTGTTCAGTAATTCAAGAATACCTGAGCAGATGACTCCAGCATCTTCTCTATGGATACAATTGTGAATTCCCCAGCCTCTGTGAAAGCAGTCTTCCAGTCTTTTTTCATTCCCAGCACATTGTACACCATCCATATGAATAGGGCCTGAGCCCTGGCCATGCTGAGCCTTTACCACTGCAGCGAGAGCAATTCCACATCCAAGCTCCCTGCACACAACATGAGCATCGTTCATGTCCCAGTCATCATCACAGACTGTCCCCCATTGTCCTCCGTAAAGCACTTCAAGTCGCCCTTCACATCTGTTTCTTCCATTGACAAGCCGCTTTGAGTATCCTTTGTGGAGAGAAAAAGTGGGGTATAAATATAAACATAATAATAAACATAATAATAACAACAACAGGGTTGATGTGAGTTTTCCAGAATGTATGACCATGTTTCAGAAGTATTATCTCCTGACGTTTGGCCCACATCTATGGCAGGCATCCTCAGTGGTTGTGACCTCACAACCTTTGAGGATGCCTGCCATAGATGTAGGCAAAATGTCAGGAGATAATACTTCTGGAACATGGCCATACAGCCCGGAAAACTCACAGCAACCCAGTGATTCCAGACATGAAAACCTTTGACAATACAATAACAACAATAGGTTTTCTTCTTAGAGAAACAGAAAAGAAACATTACTTGGCACTAGGCAAGCTCTACCAGTGCAAATCACATATGATCAGTTCCCCTATGATAAATCTATTTTCAAGGCCTGTATATCCTATGCCATGAATTTTGATTATATTATGAAAATGAAGTATCACATAAAGGCAAAATGTCACTTACCGCTTGAAGTAGTAGTTTTCACACCCCAGACTGGTTCTTGGAAAAAGATAAAGGCAAAGTAAAAGTGAGAATAGCAAACATAATGCTACATAATAGGTGTTTAAGATTGAGGCCCTGCTCTCAGTCCTGCCTTCTTCGCAGATCTGCTTGGCGGGAACGAGAGTTAGTATAAGTGCTGGATTTACCAGGGCTTGTTGTCCAAGGGGGGCCATATTCCTGCCAATTTTTTTTTACAATGCATTTTGCTAATGTACAATTCTAAATGGGAAGGCATTCTGTTTTGAAGCAATTCCAGACATAATGACAGTGTAAGCCTACCGGGCCTATCTCTTTCAGGGCCCAAGTAAGGTGCTTCATAACTTAACTAGCACAGGGCCTCATTTGTCCAAAATCTGGCACTGGTCAGTGTAGACCCATGTAATGCATTAGCTACATTCAACTGCATTATATGAGTCTACATTGACCATATAATGCAGTTCCAAATTAGCAGTGTAGATCCAAACTAAGGACCTCTTCAGACCGGTCACCAGAATTGTCACATATTGTGGTGAATCAGGTGGTGTCTAGCTGATACCTTAAGAATAGGGCTCCACAGTCATCTACGGATCCACCGTATACTGCACACTGACCCTGGAGGACTATCATCCTCAGACAATGAGGGATCGCCTAAGTAAAAGTAAGCTGATAGCAGGGAAACTCATCGCCCCATGCTCTGCATTGCCCAACTCTGCATTGTCCCATTGCCCAACTCTGCATTGTCCCATCCCACGGGGGGATGTGTTGGTTGTCTGGCTTCTCCTCGTTGATTCCCATTGAACACAGGACTCCTCCAATGTTGCCCCCATAGCAGCATGCACTGCTTCCTTTACAGTTTTACGACAGAGCCTGCCTGTTCCCATTCCACAATGTTGAACTCCTTCTGGTGGGGCTCTGTTGTAAAACTGTAGAGGAAGAAGCATGCCTCTGAAAAACATATCATCTGATGAGTTCATATGGCATTAACTACTGTGACCAGGTATGCCTTCCCCAAGAAAGGGTGCAGCTGGTACACCAAGCAAAGTTAGGCAAAGACACTTTTGGTCACTGCAGCAATCTGGTTTTCCATAAGTGTTGATTTTAAAAGCACCCTCAAGCTAGGACTGATAGTTCCGAAAGAATGCAACCCCACCCAAAACAGCTACAATCTCAATGCAACATCACCTAGAACAGCTGCAACCCTAGACTGGGACTCAAGCTGGTAACAACCATACAAATTAAAAGAATAAAAATTAAAACCTATACATTGAGCATTATACTGGTGTCCTGATGACTAGGGATCTTAGAAGGTTCTTATTCATAGAGTGGCCATAAGTTAATGTCAAATAACACAATACATCTCTGTATATGAAATAGGTCAAAGAATGATTTTCAAAGTGCTCTTACTTGTTGTGACTGCATTCTTTGGAATAATCTCACGATAGACTGCATGAAAACCTCTATCATTGACACTAGAATCACTTGAAAATACAACTCGCATTTTGTTTGACGACGAGACGTATAACTTTGTTGTCTTGTGACAGGTCTTCACAAGAGAAGGTGATGTGGATGAAAAGCCATCAAAAACTTCGACAAAATCAAAAAGGCAGCGGCTTGTAATTTCCAGTCTGTGGAGGGAAAATTAAGACATGCTGAATATTTCCCATCAGAACTATTTGGAGTGCAAACGGCTTTAGGATCTCCAGGTTTTTCTTTGAAAGTTGCAATTAATTTGATTCTTTTTTGAACACTTCTTCCATCAAAGTTAAAAAGCCAAATACAGCATCGTTGAGTTTAAGAACAAAGCTTAATATACTTCAATAGCTTAATTTGCTGCTATATCTCCTACATTGTTTCTACATAACTTCCAATATGTATCAGATAAAAACTGAGACACATGTAGTCGGTACTAGGTCATCAAAATAGCATTCAAGGGTAGTCAAAATTCATGATATGTAGGGTTGACAATCCAGTCGTAGCTATTAACAAGTTTGAAACCCAGGCACAAATCCCACATTATCTGCTTTGAACTGGAATATATGGCAGTGTGGACTTAGATAACCCAGTTAAAAGCAGATATTGTTCGATTGTCTGCCTTGATATTCTGGGTTATATGGCTATGTGGAAGGGCCCCCACTGGATTACCCTGGGAAAGTTGCACTATCTATGTGAAGAGGAGGACAATGGAAAACCTCTTTTGAACAAATCTTGCAAAGAAAACCCTGTGGAAGATGAGCCTTAGAGTTGCCATAGGTTGGAAATGACTTGAATCTGCCCAGAGTTTCAAACTAAATTTTAGAAGAGCCATCTAAAGAGTTCAACCCTATTCCAACAATCAAATGTAAACTTGTGTAACCAATGTTCACTACTGCATGCATATAATAATAAAAAGCACAAGACAAACCAAGAATTACGGTGATTGAATTTCTGTTGAGTTCATCTCAACAAGTTGAATGATTACTTACAGAAAATCTTCAAACCGGAGTTCAACTTGGCGGTTTTCAGTTACTTGTATGTCCCAGATACACCATGAATTGCTAGGGTAATTTGAAGGATACAATGGAGTAGAAAATGAACCATAAGGTCCAGAAAGGTGTCCACCGCAGGAACGATTTCCTAGAAAATATACATGGCAAGTTTTAGGGTAGAACCATTTACTGATTTATAACTGTAGCACAATTGTGAAAATTGCTAAATGGAACCATGGTTATTTAGCCCCAGGAACATTAAATTTCAGTCTCAGTCCCAACTGGAAACTTATTCTAGTTCTGTATTCTAGTTCTATTCTAGAACTATTCACCCAAGGCATTTGATTTCTATCAGCCACTTGCTGCCTTCTCCTTCCCTCTCGGCACAGTGACCCGGCTGGGTAGCTGTGCCAAGAGAAGAGGAGAGGAAAGGCCCGGCATGGTGGGAAAGCACATGGCTGATAGACACTTTTGCAGGGATTCTATCAACTGCATGCCTTCCTCTCCTCCCCTCTTAGCAGAGCAATTCAGCTGGGTGGATGTGGCAAAGGAAGACGCCTGCCCTGCCAGGAAGGCACATGGCTGATAGAAGCCCTTTGAAGGGATTATACCCACTGCACACCTTCCTCTCTTCACCAGCTGCACAAAAAACCCTCCCCCTGACACGCCAACCATCCTGGTCTCCCCTCCCTTCCCACCTGGCACACCCTACCCCCTCTAAGCCTGGCTCACCGGCCTCCTTCTGGCCCAGCCCACAACCCCCAAGCTCAAAAATTTGCCCATGCCTGTGTTATATTATAGCATTACTGCATTATAACCAATTCCAATGAAAAACAAGAGGGCAAAATTGGTGCAGTCAAAAATGTGGCAGTCTCTTTTTTTCTCTCTAATGGAGAAAGAAATAAAATGGCAAGGAATGGCATGACCATTTTCTTATGTCAGTCATACAGTTGTACCACCATGATGTCTTTATTACATTTCTGCACTATTCCAACTAGATTAAAAAAAAAGACAAACCATCAATGAAGGGAAGGGCTGGGTATAAGTCAGTAATGCAGACCAAAAATGCTGTGAAAATGTGATTTTGGCAAGTTTGCAATAGAAAGCATCAGTAATTAAATATTCTCATGAGACCAGCTGGAGGGATTTCAAATGGAACAATGCAGCATAAAGGTGTCGTATGATTAGACCATTGGTTCTCTCCATAAAATAGCTGACAAGGTATAGAGGCTGGGATCCTATGCACACTTTATGCTGGGAGTCAGTCCTATTAAACTCAGTTGGACATAACTTTAGAATAAAAAACACAGAGAAATGCATTCTGCCACACTAGATTGAATTAGATGATACTGAAATGATTTTTAATTTGAAGGCTTACCAGAAAAACTGGATTTCAGAGTGCTAGACAAAGGGACTGATGTGCCTTAGAGAAAGTAAGGGAAGCCAGTTGTAAGATGGATTGTTTGGTTTCTCAATTTTTAACACTTACATAAATACAAAATTGTTAGATTAATAATATAACATAAGCATAATCCAATTTCATCCCCACATTCACAGACTTACGTAATACCCATGATTTCACATATCCATGCTCCAAAATATATCCCCCTACAAAGTGGTTGTGGGCCTCTCTATGTCTTCCAGTGTACTTCGATGATATGCTTTTGGCCCAAGTTTAGTCCAAATATAGCTTTCATTTTTATCCACACTTTCAGATTTCCATGAGGTGGTGGTTTTGGAATGTATTTCTGTCAGATACAGGGGGCATGCTATACGTACTATTTCTAGTAATTAGGGACAGTGACTGGATACAATTAGTTCATCTACCCAGTAAATAGCAGTGGCTTTCCAGTTTTTTAGGCAATTTCTAACCTTACCTACAAATTCCACTGAAGTATCTGCAAGAGTTAAAACTATGCAGTATTGAACCTTGGATGAGACTGGGGGCCCATCTACACTATAATGCAGACTGAGGACCCTTCTACCATTATAGTGCAGAATTAACTGCATTATATGGTCATATAGAGCAGTACAACACAGTTAAACTACATTATATGAATCTACATCAGGGGTTCTCAAACTGTATTCCGCAGAGCCCTTGGGGCTCCGTGGGTGATATTGAGGGGCTCCACAGCGCCATGCTGCTTCCTGCCTCCTCCTCTTTCCTCTTCCTGAGAAATGCAGTGAAACTTAATTAGCCAGAAACAGCAACAGCAGTAGCAGTGGCCTGCGGCGCACAGATCCCTTCTCCCCTGCCTTCCTCACTGGCCAGACTATTTTCCTTGAAGCCCAGACCATCCCACCTAGTTTCTTTACTTCAAAAACCCAATTTCCCTCCCAGCACTCAGCGGGTGCTTTGACTGTGTTTTTCCTGCAAGGCAGAAGGCGGTTGGACTGGATGGCCTCAGAGTTTCTGCCATTATGATGATGATGATGATGATGATGATTATTATTATTATTATTACAAAGGCCATCTGTTGGGGGTGCTTTAATTGTGCTTTTCCTGCATGGCAGAAGGGAGTTGGACTGAATCATCACAGGGGTCTTCCACTGAAATACTGTTAAATTTATGTAGGTGAAAATTGTTCTTCATTTTAAATATTTTATTATTTTCTTTCCTTTTTTAATTGTGTGAATTAGTTCACACTAATATATAATATATAAACATTTCTTTGTGATCCACAAGAAACTTTTGCTTCAAAAAGGGCCCTGTGGCTGAAAAAAATTGACAACTCCTGATTTACACTGACCATATAATGTAAATGGGTCCCAGGTGTGTTGGGCTTGATGTGATTGGTGGAAAGGTGAGATTATCTCATTGCTTTGTCATATGACGCTTTCATCACAGTTAGGGAACAGAGCCCTGCCAGAAGTAGCTCTACGTCATTTGGTGGGATCCAGCAGAGTCTGTCCTCAATCTGTGGTGAAAGTGTCATACGATGGGTAAATTTGCCCATGTAATGAAATCCTAAATGTTCAAAGTTCAAAAAGAATCTCGCAGCTACATCTTTTATTTGCCATCATTGGAGTTGTAGCTTGGACATTGAATGTAAAATGAGCTAATCATATTACTCTGGGATCAAGGGACCTAAACCTAAGTTTCCAATCTAGCACCCTCCAATTGAGACAATTCCCATCATTTTCACCTAGGTGGGCACAAAGCTAGGGAGAGGAAACTTGCAAAATAATCTGCAAAATTTGTCACTTTGTTTTTTATATAAAAATCACACTTTAAGAGCAGGGTCCTCAAATCTTTTAAGTAGAAGGCCAGTTCATGGTCCCTCAGACTGTTGGCGAGGGGATGACGACTATAGATTCTTGTTGTTGTTGTGTGCCTTCAAGTTGTTTCAGACTTAGGGCGACCCTAAGGCAACCCTATCGCAGAGTTTTCATCTCAAGATGTATTCAAATAATTGTGGCTTTCTCTTCATCTGAGGCTGAAGCCACCCAGTGGATTCAGAGCCAAAATAAGGTTCAAACTACTATGCCATGCTTTAGGAATTCTTTCCCTCTCTTTTTCCTACCTACCCTGTTTACTCCCTTTCTTATCTTCCTTCCCTCTCTGTTTCCTACCTACCTTTTTTCCTTTTCTCCTTCCATCTTTCCATCTCCTTTTCCTACCTCTTTTTCTTTCTTACTTTCTCTTTTTTTTCTCCCTTTTTCCATCCATTTGGAGCAGGGCCGGAGCTAGGGGGAGGGGGAGGGGTTTAAGAATGCTAACCCCCCAAAAAGGTTTCTAACCCCCCTCCCGAAACCTGGTTTACTCAAGAATTTAACTGATTAACCAACTTATGAGTAAACCAGGTTTCTTTTTTAATCTGACACATTTCAGGGCAAGGCTACCCCCCCCCCCCCCGGTTATGACCCCGATTTGTAGGGAGCAAGAATGAGGAGGAAGTAAATAAGAAAGGAAAGGAGAGGAGAGTTAAGAAACAAGAGGGGGGTGAAGAAGATTCCCTCCAATTTGAAAGGAGATAGAAAGAGGAAAGTAACAGAAAGGAAAATTAAGAAGCAAGAAGAGGGTAGTGGTAACAATATGGCATGGATGACAGTGGGTAGCTGCGTAAATTACTTTGAGGAGTGGATCCAGCCCGCTGGCCTTAGTTTAGGGACTACTGATTTAGGGGTTCTATGGAAACTGTTACATGTGAAATATAAAACAATGAATGGCTGTTAGTCACAATAGCTACATATAACTTCTTTTACAAGATTTTAATTTCATTTTCAAAGTTTTTTATAACAAAGGAAAGGGAGGAAAGGGGATGGGAGATGAAGAAAAATAAGAGATTTAGTTTAGGGAGTTTTGTTAGTAAATTAAATCACTGGATGTCAAGAACCCACTTGTTCTTGGTATAGAAGATATTGTAGATGGAATTTCTACAACTGGTGCTTTGGGTGTTGTATTTTCTTTTGGAGCTAAAGAAAAGGAAAAAAAATTCAATTTTTTGCACAACTTAAAAAAATGATCACAGGAATATTTTGCCCTATAACTTCCACCGTATGTTTAGAAAATACAGTAGACTCTCATTAATCAGAACTCAAGCAATTGGGACTCTCAAGAACCTGGCAAAAATAATCAAAGTATTAATACTGCGTTCACAGAGCTGTTTTTATAGAACAGTAAAACTGTGTTACATTAAATTAAGTTTGTCTTTGCTTTTAACTACTGTATTTCAATATACGTATCAAGTCAATGCAGACTTTATGATATGATATTTTACAGGGCATTGTATGACCCATTTTAAGTCACTCTAAGCAATTGGAAACTACATTTATTCAGCATCTACTAATTTCCATGGGCGCTGGTTAACTGAGATTCTACTGTGATCTTACTCACTATTATTTGTGCAACACATCATTAGAAGCAATCTATTAAAATCAGTTGTATTTTGTTCTTTTCCCCCATAACTTTTTTCTATCATTAATACTTGATATTTATCAAAAACAAACTTTTTTTAACTGTGATACTTTCCTTTGCACAAATCATAGCCCACAAATATTAATTTATCTAAACTATTCATAACCCTATATCATGGGCTCTCAGTGTGGTAAAATCAGGTTAACTAATTATAATAATTTAAAAGATGTGTCAAATTGTTAAAACAACTTTTAGTCTACTTAAATTATGTTTACTTTAAATAGACTAAAATCCATTTTAACAATTCGACAAGTTAAAATACAATACTTAAACTCATATAAGTTGAAATAAATTATAAACTATATGTTTATAATATACATATTATAACATTTGAACAAATCATATGCAGCAAACTGCATAATTTAATTAAAAAACTAGAGCACTGGTTTTTCAGAGCTGAAGGCTGGCTAGAAGTTCATTTGCAAAAAAATGAAAAGAAAAAAGAAAAATTATACTGGGCTGCAACTTAAATAGAAATGCTTAATTTACATAGAAATATTTCTGTTTTATGAATATGTTTTATGTACAAAATAACCATAGAATATTGTTTGAAAATAATCTATTTTCCTTCCCCCAACTGGACCATTACTCACTAGTTATAATGGGATTCTCTGTAGTAGAGGAAATTGTTCCTGAAATTAGAAAAAAGAGTAAGATCTGCTGTAGTATAAAACTATATATATATATATATATATAGAGAGAGAGAGAGAGAGAGATAGAGTTATATAGATATACATACATAATATTTGTATGTATATCTATGTACATAAATTATTGCACAGAAAATTAATATTTCTGGACATGAATTAATATTTCTGCATCGAAATAGTTTCACATGCAAAAATACTAGTTTTCTGACCAGACCAATCACAATCACAAACGATTAACAAGTGAATTCTATGCAGTATAAGTCTGGAATTGCAAATTTCCTAAAAATATGTAGTTTTCAAAGATTTTCTCACAATAGGAAAAAAATTGTTGAAATTATTCATTACTACATTGGAGAAGAGATTTGGTGAATAATTATCCTTACATATCATGGAGTTGTGTTAGTTACACCAAGATACGTTTTTTTGTTATGCCAAGTGTAATCCAAAGAATGAACTAAACTTTAATAATTGTTCATTTAAAACATTACCACTATTTCAGTATGCCTCCTCTAGTTGGGATTAATTGACAGATTTAGGGCAAAAATGTAACATAGATTATGAAGGATATGACCAAAAATAAAATAATGTGTGTCCCCTCCCCCTAAAGGAGCAATTTTACAAACCTGCCTATGAACAAAGTAAAAACAAGTTTATAGTAAATGAAAAAGGGGTATAGTATTAGTAAAAGAGATACTTTGTTTCTTTCTTGGATGAAAATGTGTTTCCTGTCATTTAATTTGAAATCCTGACAGAAAACATAATAAAGCAGCAACACATTTGAGCATTTTTTGTGTATTCATATTTTCTGAAGCACTGCAGGATTTTTCTGAAAAGAGACACATGTAGGGGTTTTTAAAAAAATGAAAAAAAAAACCCGTATGTAGTAAATATATTTCCTGTGTTGGATATATGCTTTTCCCCAAAACAATGTATTTTATTCTGAAGAAAAATGCTCCAGACAATGTATTCACAATGTCTGAATATGGGAAAAATAAATACTGTTATTAATATTCTTCTGCAATAGAGAGAAAACCATGATAATTATTAATACTTGCAAGAACAAAATAATCATGGATTTATGTACATCCCTATTTAAATACATAGAAAGCAGGAAATAGTTTAACATATGTAGAGCTTGGAAATAAATAAGCAATACTGATCTGTCATCAAGGATATTGCAAGAAAAAGTTATAGCAGAACTTACGAGATGCAATAAAATTTTTGGTACTTGAAGGAAGCGTTTCTATTTTTTTAAAAAGACAAAAAAGACAAAATTGTAATTCTTATTCTACAGTATAGACAAAATCATGTCTATGTTTCTGATATTTTCATATTTAAATAAAATTAAAGGACATGAGCAGATAATTCTTTTTTGTGACAACAGTTATGGACTCCCAATTTTTTAATGGAAGCGTTCTTCAAGACAGTCATCTTTTCATTCTGCACTGATATGGATCCTCTCTCTCTACATATGAAAGTCTTCAGTAGTGCTTACCAGTTGTAACACTTGCTTCTTTGGAAGGTACAGGAATTTCTAAATTAAAACATTTAAAAAAAGATTTTTAGAAAAAAATATCAAGACCCAGCGCTAGATATTTCAAATCTGCTCATTTTGTAGATACCAGATAGTGCTTACCAGACTATTTCCTTTCTCTCTTCCCACTACTTGCCTAGTGATGTCCTATTGAAGAGAACCATCTCATGCAAAACTTACAAGATCTCCTTAGGGACAATGTAGGGTAGGAAAAAAAAGACCATGCACTACAAGCAGGTATGTGGAGCAATTGTCAATGGAATAAAGAGGGAGGAGTTAGAGTATCTGGAGATTAACTCTCCTCTGACTCCACTCCTTTCTTCAATGTAGTCAGAGGAGATTTAAGATTACTTTCAATGTTATATTTGATATTGTTTGTCTCCTTTTGAAAATCTGTATAATAAAAATAAATCTTCAGCAATGCTTACCAGTTGCAACACGCTTCTCTGTAGAAGATTGAGAAAATTCTGAATTATTTATTAAAATTATAAAATGGCAGATGATATAAAGAAGATAACCAGTTGATTTCCCATTTGAAAACACGTACTCATTAACTTCAAAAACAGAAACAAAAATCTGTATTAATGCATACCTGTTGTAATGCTCATCTCAGTTGAGACTTGAACTCTTCCTAGTTTAAATAGACACAAGACATAGTGTTAATTTTTAAATGGTTATCTTCATATTGATGTTAATAGGCTTCCATATATTAGCTAGGATGAATATATTAAATATTCAGGCTTATTTACCATTGATAACCAGATTGCTATTGTTATTTTGACATGAGGCAATTTACAAAACATTGTATGGACTGGGTTGTTGTAGGTTGTTTTCGGGCTATATGGCCATATTCTAGAGGCATTCTCTCCTGACGATTTGCCTGCATCTATGGCAAGCATCCTCAGAGGTATTGAGGTATGGACTTCCAAAGTATAATGTCAAAGACTGACATTTTGCTTACTGAGGTAGAGGACAGTATGTCACGTTCACTAATTCAGCATATAATAGTTGACCAGATGTTTGTGTTCATCTTTTTTTAATGAGTCACCTCATATTTCTACGAACTCCACATCTAAAAATGAAGATTAGAAACTGGAATATATCTTGTGTCTTTCTCATCTGATAAGTATTTTACAGCAAGTCTTTTTTTATTTTCACCTTTAAAACAGAATGTAATGTTTTAAACTGGTATTAAAATACATACCAGTTGTAACTGGTGTTTCTGTAGTAGCTGGTGGGCCTGAAAATGCAAGGAATATTGCAAACATTAAAATAAATCTTACTGAAATGTTAGATTATGTAATTGGTTTTTGTAGTCAGTCCTTTCACATTGGTATATCAGCATTTCATATTAAGTAAAAAGTACTGACATCTATTCAGTTAAAGTGAAAGATTTACACCTAAAACGATAATGGCACATTTATGGAGCTAGATTATTATTTGAACAGTATGTCTATAAAATTGAAGAACCAATGCAAAAACCAAAATACTAAATATTTTGATTGTCACTTATGACTCTTTTTACTACAACAGAAAATTCTGTGTTAGAAAAAGTGTATTGTATGTAACTCCATTGTGTTAAAATACAGTTCTAATGAACATGTAGTCACAGCACATTCCACTGAAAGGGTTAAGAAAGTGGAGTTGTGAACCTAGAGACAGCTGAGTCATGACCATGTGTTACGCATAACAAGAATGGCATCATTTCCTGTTGTCACTTTGAGTATATAAGGAAAGGACAAGCATGTGCAGATTCTCTTTACCACAGTGTTCTTTGCTACAATGTCCTCTTGCCATGATGGTCTCTTTGCCATGCGATATTCTTGCTCTCTTGCTCCTCTTTCTCTCCACACTACCTGCCTAGTGATGTCCTATTGAAGACAACCATCTCATGCAAAACTTCCAAGATCTCCTTAAGGACAATGTAGGGTACCTGGTACCGAAGCAACCAGCAAAGCCTATACTGCACTACAGTCAGGTATGTGGAGCAGTTGTCAATTGAATAAAGAGGGAGGAGTTAGATTATCTGGAGCTTAAATTTCCTCTGACTACACTCCTTCCCTCAGTGCCATGACATTATTACTGTGGGGATGCTTTACCATCTGGCCTCTGTTTGGTCAGAGAGGCAAAAACAGTCCCTCTCTGTGTGCTCTGAAGGACCTTGGCTGGAATTTGTTAGCTTTTTATAAAAACAACAACTCATCACCACTTACTAAAGGAAAGAAGATTATACTGTATAGTTTATGGAAGATTTTCTAATTTAAAAAAGAAAGAAACACACAATTCGCATCAAATTCTTACTAGACTGAAAAAATATGTGTTATATTTACATATATACCATATGCCTACATAAATAAATAAAATAATTGGAAGAACCCCAATCTCCCAGATTTATGATCATGCTGACCCTGGAAGCACCTGAGCAGACATCACTGCAATTTTCCTTGTGGTGACAGTTATGGGCTCCCTGAACTTTATGGGACCAGTCTTCAAGAGATCCTTCATTCTCTTGGCACTGGATATCTTTCATAAGGATCAAATGGAGCACTTATTGCAGCTTCAGTGACATTTCTACAGGAAAATTGCTCGCACAGAACTTGAGCATCATCTACGTCTCAACCATTATCACAAACTATGGTCTAGCTTGCATTCGTAACTACTTACCAGTGGTAGTGGTCATTTCTGTAGAAGGTAGAAGAATTTCTAAATTAAAATAATTTATAGATGAATAAATATCAAGCCACAACACCAGATACTTCAAACTTCTCTTTTTGCACTTGCATGCATAGGATACCAAAATATAAAATTAGCAACTGCCCTATATAGGATCTCGCCACATTTGGAAATTTCCCCGTCATAGAACACTTCACCAATACAGCCAGCATGGAGCTGGCTGGATCTCATCACATGACCCACAGCTAATTCCTGTGCTCGCTGCATCAGCAAAGTGTTCAGTGATAGGGAATTCTGAACATGGGAGACTACCTTTGTTCAGATTAAAAATCAAGGGGACAGTGCAAGAGCATGCTGGAAAGGTACGCTTTCCGGCATGTGATGGGCAAGCAAGTGATGTGGGTGATGCAGGGCATTGGGTGATAAATTTTCCCCACTGCCCCACGATTTGCCCCACTGCCCTCTGGATTCCCCACATCAAGGATCTCCTTGTGATGAGGTCCATAGTGTGCTCTTGATATCTTTTGGTGTTTGATTCCAAGATCCCTCAAGGATATCAAAATCTTTAGATACACAAGTCTTATTATATACAAAATGTAGTAAAATGGTGTCTCTTATATAATATGTCAAAATCAGGCTTTTTTTCAGGGGGAGGGGGGGTTAAAAATTATTTCAAGCTATAGATGCTAAATCTATGAATGCAGAATCTGTGGGTGCTGCATGCATACAAACTCATCTTTGTGTTATTCATTCATTAATGACGAGTAAGGCAAATCAAAGTTGTAGGAAAGCCAAGAAATGGACCACAACCTGGATACATTGTATTTTGGAAAATATTTTTTTAAATCACCCTTGCTAAATGTTTGGGAAAAAAAGGTTTCCAATTGATCTATATGTTTTCTTCCCAAGTCTGTCATTCACAGGTTACTTTTGTCAATCTTCAAGCATATGCCCCTCCTCCCTTTCTCTCTTTTTTCTCTCATCAGTGCTGTTATAAGGGGAAACTACTAACTGGGAGTGAGAGTTATTACTAGGAGAAGAACCTACAATATCCTTCAAACTGAAAAATGAGGTAATCTGATTTCTTCATAACCCTAAACAGTTTTAAGAAAGTACATGCAAGATGAAGTATTCTACATATAAGTCTTTTGTCCATTATTAGTACAAAAAGTTAGAAAATTCCAAAATCCAAATTACTCTTCCTGATGGTTCTGTGTACACAAACTTTGTTTCGTGCACAACATTATTAAAAGAATAATAGTTTGTAGTTTGGTGACACATCAGCATTCTTTGGCAGTTCCCATGATTCCAAACTACCACCCCCATGACCCCATAGCGTTGAGCCAGGGCAGTTAAAGTGTATCTATTCTACAGCATAGATACATCTCAAGGTTTTCTTTTCCATTGCTGAAAACTAACACTTTTGTTTTTAAAGAAGGAATGATAAGCAGGCAGCCACTGTAATGCACACCTTTTTTGGCCAAATTACAAAGAATGCACTTTTTGTCACTGAGTGTTACATTCAAGAGCCAATACTTTTTTTGTTTAAGGATTTTGAACATTGAGGCAAGGATTAGATTCAATGGCACATTAGACTTGAGTAAATACAGGTAGTCCATTGTGTGTATGTTTTTAAAATATATGGATAATGTTGTTTTTTAAAAAAATGCAAGAAAAAGCTTTATCACACTTACCAGAAGAAAGATGATTCTGCTGAGTAGTTGATGCAACAGTTTCTAATTAGAAATACAAGAAAGATTATATTGCTTTGAGTTCTTAATTTCCCCAGATTTTTATCCATAAATTCTCCAATCCATCCCTTGAATATATAAAGAATTTATTTATAAGATGAGAAAGGTGATATACTATGTAGGCTAAATAATTTATTTATAAGAAGCGTTACATATTATATATAGAAACTTTTCCTTTGGTCATTCAGCAATTCCAGAGACAATGGACTTCTTCACACATGACCCAGGGGGACCTTGCTGTTGAGCCAGCAGTCGCCAGCAAAAGGGAAGGCGCGTAGGGTGCCTCATGGTGCCCCACTCGCCCTTCCTCCTCCTCCTATTATATGGTGGGGATGGGACATGGCACATTGGCACTCTATCCCTATCATATAGGAGAAAAGGTGGTAACATGCAGGAATATGTGTTGCCCTGCTGCCCTTTCCCCCATCATATGGTGAAAGGGGGAAGAAAGTGTGGGTAGCTCCGGTGGAGCTACTTGAAAAACGCTTTCCACCCCATGGTGGAGGAAGAAGCACCTTCTGATATTTCCTCTCCACTTCAGGAGGAATGTGGGTGGTGCCTGCCAAGCATTGTCTGATGGTGCTTAGCAGTCTCCATCCAGGCCCTGGCCCAAAGTGGCAAAACAGGGCTATTAGCTCTGTATTAAGAGGTCCAATAAAGGCTGTCAAAACAATAATGAGAAAAGGACGTCACTGGAACCTGAGCTCTTGATTCTCTCAGAAAACCGTTCGTCCATTAGAGAAAACTTTTATACTTGAGAAACAGTTTGAGGGGAAAAAAAAACTTTCTTCCAACTGGAGAATGCATATTTGTACTCTTCATTGGGTCATTCAGCAATCAGAAACACAGGAGATCAAAACTGGAATCGAAACTGTAAACAAAGGACCAAAGCAACACCACAACTAGTAGCTTTCAATGTATTCCAAAAACATTTATTTCCTGAGGGGGGAACCTATCAATAACAACAACAACAACAATAATAACAACAACAACAACAACAGTTACAGAGAATGAACATGTCAAGCTACTCTGGGACTTCCGAATTCAGACAGAATTTTGGAGCACAATACTCCTGACCTCACGATCGTGTTAAAAAGCAAAGTGTGGATGGTTGATGTTGCAATCCCATGTGACAGCAGGATTGAAGAGAAACAACTGAAAAAGCTGACACGACATGAGGTTTTAAAGATCGAACTGCAAAGACTCTGGCACAAGCCAGTAAAGGTGGTCCCAGTGGTGATCAGCACACTGGGTGCAATGCCTAAAGACCCGGGCCTGCACTTAAACACCATCTGCCAGCTGCAAAAGGCCACCTTATTGGGATCTGCATGCATTATATGCCGATACATCATACAGTCCTAGACACTTGGGAAGTGTCCAACGTGTGATCCAATACAACAGCCAGCAGAGTGATCTTGTTTGCTGTGGACTCATCTTGCCGTGTTTCAAACAACAACAACAACAACAACAGCAACGTATTTGGAACTATTATTCAATACAAATGCTTTCATCCAATTAATATATATGCTTTCTTGTTTAGGCTAAATCCAGTCCAGGGGAAAAAAACTTTACTCATCTTGATCCCAGTGCTGCTGGAATACATAATATTCCTCCATTTTTAAAGTTAATAAATCATTTTTACTCTACAGTTTTAAAAATAAATGGATTTTTAACATGTGTGTCCTGTACCCGAAACCTGGATTGGAGTGGAGTCATGTGGCTGTGGTGATTGAGGACAGGTTGGAGGTGGTTACCTAAAGGTCTGACAAGCTTGGTTTTGACATTTTTAAAACATTCATTCTTAAAGGTGTGACATTCTGAACTCACTAGTGAATGTGTATTAATTTTGTTGAATACTGATTATTTTATTAAATTTTATCAGGAATCTCCCTCTAGGAAATGTGTACTGTATAAGGAATCAGATAGATGAGGGAGGACTGGGTACTGAGTTTCATTGGAATTGAAAAGTGTAAGTGGATTAGATGTGAAAGGGAAGAGAAGGGAGGACACTCTATGCAGATTTTTTAAGATTCCTTAGTACCAAGCTACAATTTATTCATCATGGAAGATTTGGGTCTTTTAGAATGATGATGAGTTGCCCATTAGAGTGATCTTTTATAGAGGGATGGTGGAAAGAGGGATGCAGAGTGCTTTTAGCTTCTAGGCTGAAGATGTGGAAAGTGTAATTCATTACCACATGCCAGAAGAAAAAAGATTCTGCTGTGTTGTAAATGTGCAAGTTTCTAAATAATAACAATAAAAAGATAAGGAAGACAATATAATATCAAGGTCTGAGTACAATGACAAAACAATGGCACTTGCACACATAGTCCTTGTAAAATACCAATTAATGTAAAAATAAACATAAATAAGGTAGGAATAGATAGGAATTTGGAAAATATTTGAGAAAGAATAAAAAATAGTATTGTTTTTGCATGTCAAAACCCTGCGGAAAACAACCCCTGGCTGATGAGAATCTTTGCAATTTGAGACTAAAGCTGAATCTATACTACCCTATATCTCAGGATCTGAACCCAGATTATCTGTGTATCCCAGGTTATCTGACAGTGTAGACTCACATAATCCAGTTCAAAGCAGATAATATGGGACCAAATCCTGGAATATAAGACAGTGTAGACTCAGCCCTAATTTGTAGAAAATTCACACTTTGTCCTTTTCTTCTGGAACTGCTTTTTTCCTGTACAGAAAATATATCAATGCATATAATGTAGGGAAGATTTACATGCCTAGTATATCACCTTTAAATTTATCCATGAATGTTATCTCTCTCTCTTTTTTAAATGGAAGGAAACATTTGTCACCACTTACCTGAGGTTAGAATATTCTGTTGTGTAGTAGAGAGGACCGTTTCTAAATTTTAAAAAGGCAAGAACCTGCATTGAGTTCTTTTTCAGTTGATAACATACATTTATATTTGAATAAATAGAGCTAAATGTAAGACAAAGACATGTGTAATGAAAATAATAGGAAGTACCTGAGCAGATAACACTGGCATCTTCTTTGTGGTGACAATTATGAACTCCCCATCCATCATGGGAACAATCTTGAAGTGATGATTCATTTCCTTGGCACTTGACATTATTCAAGTGGATCTTACCAGAGCCTTCACCAAATCTGGCACTTATTGGAGCTTCAATGGCATATCCACAGGCAAGTTGTCTGCACACAACCTGAGCATCCTCTAAGTCCCAACTATCGTCACAGACTGTGCCCCAGTCCCCATTATAATAGACTTCAAGTCGGCCTTCACAACTGTTTCCCCCATCCATTAGTCTCGGGAGCAAAGGATTTGCTGTTGTTTCCAATGGAGAAAGTTCTGCAATAAGTGGTGAAGTATACAAGTAGATTACTTTCAATTTTATATTTAATGATATTTCTTCTCTCCTTTTAAAAATCTGTATAATAAAAATAAATCTTCAGTAATTCTTACCAGTTGCAACACTTTTCTCTTTAGAAGATTGAAGAAATTCAGAATTATTTATTAAGATTATAAAATGGCAGATTAAAGAAGATAACCAGTTGATTTCACATTTGAAAACATGCACTCATTAACTTTAAAAAGAGAAACAAAAATCTATATTAACACATACCTCTGGTAATACCCTTCTCAGTTGAGACTTGAAGTCTTCCTAGTTTAAATAGATAGAAGATGCCGTGTTCATTTTTCAAGGTTTATCTTCATATTGATGTTAATTAGCATATATTAGGTTGGATGAATGCATTAAATATTGAGGCTTATTTGCCATTGATAAGTAGACCACAAGTTTCTTATTTTGACCCTAGGTAATTTTCAAAACCCTGTATTGACTTCAAATGTAAAAATGTTAAAGACTAGTATTTTGCTTCCTGAGGCAAAGAACAGTATGTCATGTCCATTAATTCTGCATACAATAGTTGACTAGATTTTGTGTACATCTTTTTTTAACGAGTTACCTCATATTTCTGCAAACTCCACATTATGAAGATAAGAAACTGGAATATATTTTGTGTCTTTCTCATCTGATGAGGATTTTACACAGTCTTTTTTTAATTTTCACCTTTAAAATAGGAAATAATATTGATGGTTTGTTTTAAACATTAAATTAAAATACATACCAGTTGTAACTGGTGTTTCTGTAGTAGCTGGTGGGCCTGAAAATGCAAGGAATATTGCATATGTTAAAATAAATCTTACTGAAATGTTAGATTATGAAATGGTCTTTGGTCAGTTTTGATAGTCAGTCCTTTCAAAATGGACAATGTACATCAGCATTCCAGATTAAGTAAAAAGTACTGACAGCTATTCAGTTAAATTGAAGGATATACCAAGGACAATGGTACATTTATTGAGCTAGATTATTATTCAAACAGTATTGGTTAAATTAAAGAATCAATGCAAAAAGCAAAAACTATCTATTTTGATTGGCTCTCATTACTCTTTTTGCTACAACATGCAAATTCCATCTAACTGTGAGTAATTTATAGAATTCAGTCTGCTTCTAAAGGTATCGGTAAAAGTTTCCCTTTGACATTAAGTCCACTTACATATCTCTACTGTGGATAACTAGTTGAATATATTAATTAGAATCAATAGATCAGATAAAAAAGTAGAACCAAACAAATAATACTAAAAGGTGAAGGTTTTCTCCTGACATTAAGTCTAGTCATATCCGACTCTGGGTGTTGGTGCTCATCTCCATTTCTAAGCCGAAGAGCCAGCGTTGTCCATAGACACCTCCAGGGTCATGTGGCTAGCATGACTGCATGGAGTGCTGTTACCTTCCCATCGGTGTGGTACCTATTGGTCTACTCACATTTGCATGTTTTCAAACTGCAATGTTGGCAGAAGCTGGGGCTAACAGTGGGAGCTCACCCCGCTCCCAGATTAAAACTGCTGACTTTTTGGTCAGCAAGTTCAGCAGCTCAGGAGTGTAACCCGTTGTGCCACCAGGGGTCCAAGAAAATGGCTGGGATTTATGCAGTCTGCTAAATATTGTTTAATTGCAACTCCCAACAGCCCTAACAGACATGACCAATGTGGGGAATGTTGTTAATTGAAATCTGACAACATCCAAAGGGCCATATAATTTCTGGCTCTTTACAAAATAAATAAGAAATATGCCTCCTCATATGAAACTGGTACAAGATCATTCTTTCCTTTGAGCCAAAGGATTTTTTTGGTGAGACCATAGAGTGCAGCCAGAAAAAATCACCATTTAGAAAGGAAAGGGTTAAAATGAGTTGGTTACTAGAGAAAATGGGAGATCAGAGTGACAAAACACTTGCAATGAACTGATATATTTTCTTACCTAATACTTATAGAATAAGCTCTCTCTATATATATAAAATAGTTCTATCTATGGGAGAAATTGTTCTGTCATTTCATTGAAACAGATTTTCTAAGCACTGAATAGGAAAACATGCAAACCCACCATAAAAAGGAAGTGAATAAGGAACAGGAATTGTACAGTTAATGTGTTTGCTTTACTACCAAACAACAGCATGTAATAAAATTGATGGATATTTAAAATATTCAATATGTCAAAAATATTTGGCAATACGCAAATGGTAACAAAATATCATATGATGGGAAAATCTGGGAAATTCAGAATACCTGAGCAGATAACACTGGCATCTTCCTTGTGGTGACAATTATGAACTCCCCATCCATCATGGGAACAATCTTTAAGTGATGATTCATTTCCTTGGCACTTGACATTATTCAGGTGGATGTTACCAGAGCCTTCACCAAATTCGGCACTAATTGGAGCTTCAATGGCATTTCCACAGCGAAGCTGTCTGCACACAACCTGGGCATCATCTAAGTCCCAGCCATCATCGCAGACTGTGCCCCATTCCCCTTTGTAATAGACTTCAAGTCGACCTTCACAACCATTCTCCCCATCCATTAGTCTTGGAGGCAAAGAACTTGCTGTTGTTTCCAATGAAGAATGCTCTGCAAAAAGTGATGAAGAGTACAAGTAGAATACTTTCAATTTTATATTTAATGATATTGTTTCTCTCCTTTTAAAAATCTGTATAATAAAAATAAATCTTCAGCAATGCTTACTAGTTGCCACACTCTTCTCTGTAGATGACTGAGGGATTTCTAAAGTAAAACAATTAAAAATATATTAAAAAGATGATAATAAATGCACTTAGTTTAGTGCACATTTGAAAATATGAAATGATTCACAGTTGAACAAAAACATTCTGGGTTGGTTTTAGGGTGCTGATTCAGAAAATGGCATTGGATAGATCTTAGATATGGTTATCATGATTTTCTGTGGATGAGCAGATGAAAACTGGTAGATGTCATATGTTTTGTATGACAAAAACTAGAACCGATGGGGGAAAACTGGTGCCATTCTTTGAATCAGCAGGTCAAATATGCCAAAAAAGCAAGTCTAACATTTGAGGAACCAAAATGTGTGTAGGCCAGTGTTATAATTCTTAACTGAAATGGGCATAAAATTTTGTGGTAATATTACTCATTGTAATACTCTTCTTAGTTGAGATTTGAAGCATTCAAAGATATGTTATATTTTGCCAGAGTTGCCTTCACATTGAAAGTAATGGACTTGCATATATTGTGGAGAATGAAGAAACATCTGATGATGACTCTTCACCTCTTACTTTGGCCTGAATTTATTTACAAACCCCTGTATTGATTTCAAATGTAACATGCTCATGTTAAAGGCTGTCTTAAGACATTTTGCTACATGAGGCAAAAACAGTATTGCCTCTCAATTAATTAGTTTAACAATTGACAGTTTTTGGGGGTGATCTCACACAGTTCAAATCTCATTTTAGTGCTAGAGATCAGACTTCATCTTTCATTTTACTTCACAATAGCATGCAGGCTTAGGGGACAAGTACCAAATGTTTGTCACACCCAGCGTTGCTTTAGTATGTTTATTCTCATTGACTTGACCTGCACTGCCATACAATCCAGTTTCAGAATGCAGATTAACTGCATTGAAGTGGATTATTTGACTCTCTACTGCCATATAATCTAGTTTAAGGTAGTTAAACTGCATTCTGAAACTGGATTATATGGCAGTGTAGATTCAGCCATTGTTTCCTTAAGCAGGTACCCCACTTTACTACACCAGGAACAACTTGCATATTTTCCATCGCTCCCATATCAGCAATTTCATCACGCCACATAGATCCTTGCAGGATGCTGAATGAATATAAGTGGTTAATCTCTAATGTATCTATTGCTCCCTTGCTGAATTTGCTAATCTTATTTTCCAATTGAATTAGAAGGAATCCACCCATCAAAAACAAACATGGTCATCAAGCAAGAATGCACACTTGGTAACAATGGATCCCCTCCTTCCATGGATAATTTTGTGTTTGTTTTGATCTACCTCTGCTCGTTTATTAAATAATTGAATTCAGTTACAATACCATGCACAGTTGATGGATTAGTTGTGTCTAATGCTGTTGAAGCAGCATGAGAGATTGTTGGCAAGCCTGGAGTAATTATTTCTTCATTCTTGTTTATTGCAGTGGTGACCATGGATACTTCTGTACTTCCAAAAGATATTTGGGATGCTTCAGTTGTAGATACTGTTTCCTTTTCATTTGATGTGCGGGTTGTTTCAAAAGTTTCTTCAGCTTTTGGTGTTGTGTAAGATGTAGAAGCTGTCCAGAAACGAGAATTGAAAAACCCATGAGGTATTTCATAGAGATAAGCAACTGAAAGAGTTTTATTGTTTTGATCTGTGCCTACACAAGGAAGATGGAATGTTCATGCAAGTTCAGGGTGGAAATAATATATTGACCCCTTGAAAAGTCAAACAACACACTTGTAATGGGTTTCAATTATGTAGACCTTTGCATTTCATTGTAAGAAAGAATAGTCCATATCTATATGTCATGATAAGTTTGTTTTACTTGGATAGGAAAAAGAAAGGATAGGACATAGGCTTATGTGATAGTTCTTTAGCTGGATCTACACTACCATATAAGGCTGATGATCAAAGTAGACAATCCAGATTATCTGATTTGAAGTTGATTATTTGAGTCTCCACTGCCATATAATCCAGTTTAAGGTAGTTAAACTGCATTCTGAAACTGGATTATATGGCAGTGTAGATTCAGCCATTGTCTCATTTACTAAATTAGGGACAGCTTTCTTATTTTCCATTGCTCCCATATTGGCAATTTCATCATACCACATAGATCCCTGCAGGATGCTGAATGAATATATGTGGACACAAGTCACCGTAGATATTATGGGTTTACTATAATATGTGTAGGTTGGCTAATCTCTAATGTATCCCTTGCTGAATCTACTAATCTTATTTTTCAATTGAATTAGGAGGAATCTACCCATCAAAAGCAAACATGGTTGTCATGTTAGCAAGAATGCACACTTGGTAACAATGGATCCCCTCCTTCCATGGATAATTTTGTGTTTGTTTTGATCTACCTCTGCTTGTCTACTAAATAATTGAATTCAGTTACAATACCATGCGCAGTTGATGGATTAGTTGTATCTAATGCTGTTGAAGCAACAAGAGAGATTGTTGGCAAGCCTGGAGTAATTGTTTCTTCATTCTTGTTTACGGCAGTGGTGACCATGGATACTTCTGTACCCCCAAAAGGTATTTGGGCTGCTTCAGTTGTAGATATTGTTTCCTTTTCATTTGATGTGCGGGTAGTTTCAAAAGTTTCTTCAGCTTTTGGGGTTGTGAAAGATGTGGAAGCTGTCCAGAAATGAGAATTGAAAAACCATATGGCAATTCATAGAGATAAACAACGGGAAGAGTTTAATTGTTTTGATATGTGCCTACACAAGGAAGATTTATTTATTTGTTTGTTTATTTATTTATTTACTATATTTGTATACCACTTTTCTCAGCCCTCGGGCAACTCAGAGTGGTTCACAATAGCAAAATTCAATGCTTAAAACATCATAAAACAGTTAAAAACAATTAAAACACTAGCATGATAAACAACCAATTAAAATCATATAACATCTCATTATCATCTCATAGTTAAAATCAAGATGGAATGGCCATGCAAGTTCAGGGTGGATATAATATATTGACCCCTTGAAAAGCCAAAAAACACATTGTAATGGGTTTCAATTATGTAGACCTTTGCATTTCATTGTAAGAAAGAATAGTCCATATCTATATGTCATGATAAGTTTGTTTTACTTGGATAGGAAAAAGAAAGGATAGGACATAGGCTTATGTGATAGTTCTTTAGCTGGATCTACACTACCATATAAGGCTGATGATCAAAGTAGACAATCCATTATTTGATTTGAACTGGATTATTTGAGTCTCCACTGCCATATAATCCAGTTTAAGGTAGTTAAACTGCATTCTGAAACTGGATTATATGGCAGTGTAGATTCAGCCATTGTATCCTTTACTAAACTAGGAACAGCTTTCTTATTTTCCATTGCTCCCATATTGGTGATTTCATCATACCACATAGATCCCTGCATGAATATATGTGGACACAAATCACCATAGATATTATGGGTTTATTATAATATGTGGTAGGTTGGCTAATCTCTAATGCATCAATTGCTTCCTTGCTGAATCTGCTAATCTTATTTTTCAATTGAATTAAGAGGAATCTACCCATCAAAAACAAACATGGTCCTCATGTGAGCAAGAATGCACATCTGGTAACAATGGAACCCCCTCCCTCCATGGATATGTTCTAATTTTGTGTTCATTTTGATCTACTCCTGCTCATCTTTTAAATAATTGAATTAAGTTACAATACCATGCACAGATGATGGGTTAGCTGTATCTAATGCTGCTGAAGCAGCATGAGAGATTCTTGGCAAGCCTTGAGTAATTGGGTTGCTGTGAGTAAAGGCTGGAGTAATTGTTTCTTCATTCTTGTTTATTGCAGTGGTGACCATGGATGCTTCTGTACTTCCAAAAGATATTTGGGATGCTTCAGTTGTAGATATTGTTTCCTTTTCATTTGATGTAAGGGTAGTTTCAAATGTTTCTTCAGCTTTTGGTGTTGTGTAAGATGTAGAAGCTGTCCAGAAACGAGAATTGAAAAACCCATGAGGTATTTCATAGAGATAAGCAACTGAAAGAGTTTTATTGTTTTGATCTGTGCCTACACAAGGAAGATGGAATGTTCATGCAGGTTCAGGGTGGAAATAATATATTAATTATATCTGCTGACTTGTTTTACTTGTTTTACAGCAAATTGACCTCCGAAAAGTCAAACAACAGACTTGTAATGGGTTTCAGTTATATAGATCTTTGTATAAGAAAGAGTAGTCCAGACAAGAATAAGACAAAAAGGAATGGAGATGGAGGGGGGCTATTGCTGCAAAAAAATTTTGATCTTCAAAAGGAATTTGATTTGGAAGATACCTGGAGAGTTAGGAATGAAAAGAAACAGGATTATACCTTTTATTCCTACCGACATCAAACATGGTCAAGGATAGATCTGGCGTGGATATCAAAAAAATTAGCTACTAAGGTAGTAGAAATGGAAATACTACCTAGAGACATTTCAGACCACTGTCCATTGGAAATAGAAATAAATCATAAGAACTATAAAAGAAAATGGAGATTGAACAAAAATTTGATTAAGACAGAGGAGGATAAAACGCATTATAATAAAATTATTAAAGATTATTTAGAAATTAATGATATTGAGGAGACAAAAATACAAGTAACGTGGGACGCGCTGAAAGCCGTTTTAAGGGGACGCTTCATTCAACATGGAGCCAGGAAAAATAAAGAAAGAAATAGACAAATGAAGGAAGTGATGAATAAAATTGGAAATAAAGAGATAGCTAAAAAAGAAACCGGATAGTAAAAAATTGAATAAAGAATTAGCGAGACTTAAACAGGAGAAGTCCCGCTTAGAGATGGAAAGACAAGCAAGAGAGCTAAAATTTTTGAAACAGCAAACGTTCGAGAATGCGAATAGATCTGGGAAATGGTTAGCAAGACAGGTACGCAAGAAGAAGCAAGCTACACAAATAACGAAAATAACTGAGGGAGATAGAGTATTCACGACGGATAAGGAGATTATGGAAGAATTCAGGAAATATTATAGTAAATTATATACCAGTGATGGAATAAAGAAGGAGGAAATTACTGAGTATATAAGCCAACTGAAATTGCAAAAAGTTTCAGAGGAGATACGGGAAAAGTTGAATAAAGAGATTACGGAAGAAGAAATTGATAAAGCTTTGAATAAAATGGATGCAGATAAGGCGCCAGGTCCTGACGGATTTACAGCAGGCTTCTATAAATCAATGAAGAGAACTGTTCTACCAATGCTGAAAAAGGTCTTAAATGAGGCATTATCGTATCAAACAATTCCGGAATCTTGGAACCAAGCCGAAATAGTAATGATACATAAAGAAGGTTCATCATCTGAGGATATTAAAAATTACAGACCTATTTCCCTCCTGAATGTAGACTATAAAATACTAACGAATATTTTGGCGACAAGATTAAAAGAATTTCTGACGGATTGGATAGGGGAGGACCAGACAGGGTTCCTCCCAGGAAGATATATGAAGGATAATATACGAACTGTTTTAGACTTGATAGAATATTTTGAAGCGAACCATCAGAAGGAAGCTGCCATCCTATCAATTGACGCAGAGAAAGCATTTGACAATTTAAATTGGGACTTCTTTAAGATGTTGATCCAGGAATTGGATATGGGGGCACAATTTACAAATGCAATCAATGCCATCTATGAAGTACAAAGGGCAAAAATTCGGATAAATGGTCAACAATCCGAAGAGTTTATAATTACGAAGGGAACAAGACAAGGATGTCCGTTATCTCCTTTGATTTTTATTATGGCCTTGGAACCACTGATGAGGAAAATAAGAGAAGATACAAATATTAAGGGAGTCAAAATTGGGAAATATGAATATAAGATCAAAGCTTTCGCGGATGACTTGTTAGGGATTATGGAAGATCCTACAAACAATCTCCAGAATTGGATAAAGAAAATGCAAGAATTTGGAAGAGTGGCAGGCTTCAAAGTGAATAAAGGAAAAACAAAAATTTTAATTAAAAATGTAAAGAAGGAAAATCAGGAGAAGATTGCATCTACTACAGGAATGGAAATTGTTAAAAAATTAAAATATCTAGGAATTTGGATAACTGCAAAGAATGGTCAACTGCTGAAGAATAATTACGAATCGGCTTGGAGTAAGATACAGAAGGACCTTAAGAATTGGAAAATATTGAAATTATCCTTATTAGGAAGAATAGCATTAATTAAAATGAATGTACTACCGAAATTATTGTTTTTATTTCAAAATATTCCAGTAATTAGAAATCAAACAATTTTTAAAAATTGGAATAAAGAATTATTGAAATTTGTTTGGGAAGGAAAAAGACCTAGAATTAAATATTTAAATTTAATTGACAAAAAAACAAGAGGTGGATTAGGTTTCCCAGACCTAAAAGCTTATCATGATGCAAGTGCTCTCTTATGGATTAGGGATTGGATGCTGCTAGAAAATGAAAAAGGTTTGAACTTAGAAGGCCATGATCTACGTGTGGGCTGGCATGCCTACACGTGGTATGATAGAGAGAAAAAGGAAAAAAAAATTGGAAATCACTTCATCAGAGCATCTTTGTTGAGAGTGTGGATGAAATATAAGAATTATTTTTATAACAAAACGCCACTTTGGGTTTCTCCAATGGAGGCACATCAAAGAAAACTATTAGGCTGGAGAGCGTGGCCAACATATAAGGATATTTTAAAAGAGAATACAGTGGAGATTAAGACTTATGAGCAATTAAAAGAAAAAAATATGTATCTGACATGGCTGCATTACTTACAAATGAAAGACTACATTAAACAAGATAATAAGATAGGTTTTGCCTGGGAAGGATCAACCTGGGATAAAATTTTGAAGGCAAAGAAAAAAGTTATTTCAGTTATCTATAATATACTTCTGACGTGGCTAACGGAAGGCGAACAAGTTAAACCATGCATGATAAAATGGGCAGAAAACATAAGAAGACCTATTCAATTCAAGGAGTGGGAACAGATGTGGAACAAGAAGCTAAAATATGTGTATGCAACGGACTTAAAGGAAAACTGGGTAAAAATGTTCCACAGATGGTATACCACTCCTAAGAAATTATCTTTAATAAACAAAAATTCTTCTGACAAATGTTGGAAAGGCTGTCAACAGATAGGTACCTTTTATCACATGTGGTGGACATGCAAAGAAATAGTGAAATATTGGGCTATGATACATGAAGAGTTACAAAAAATTTTGAAAAGAGTATTTAAGAAGAAACCTGAATATTATTTACTGGGCTTTACAGACTCGGAATTACAACTACAGGAAAATGAGGATAAGCTTTTTACTTATATGACGATGGCAGCGAGAATTGTGTTAGCAAAGGTTTGGAAACAGGATAGTATCCCTACTAAGGAGGAATGGCTAGGGAAAATTAGAGAAATAAGGGAGATGGACGAATTGACTTTTTTTTTGAAAAAAAATACCGGAAACCCGATAAAGAAGACAGACTGGACACTTTATGATAAGTACGAGAAAGAAGAAAAAAAGTAAACAAGAGACAATTTAAGGGAAAGTAACAGTAACATTTTTGGAGACACAACACCTGATGAGGAGATGGAAGTCAAACTTTTTCATGTTTTTATATGGATTTTTATATATACTTTTGGCTTTTTTTCTTTTTCTTCTTTTTCTATATTTTTCCTACTGTTCTATCCTCTTTAAATGTTCACCCTCTTTCGTTGTATTTGATAAATACTTTAATAAAAAACTATTCAAAAAGAAGAAAAGAAAGAGTAGTCCATATTTGTATAAGAAAGAATAGTCCATATCTATATGTCATGCTAACTAGCTTTGTTTTACTTGGATAGGAAAAAGGAAGGATGGGACATGGGCTAATGTGATAGTTCTTTGGCTAGATCTACACTGCTATATAAACCATCTGATCAAAGTAGATAAGGCAGATTATTTTATTTGAACTGGATTATATGAGTCTAGACTGCCATATAATCCATTTCAAAACAGATAATCTGGATTTTGTATGGCAGTGTAGATGGGGCCTTTCTCTCACCTCCTTTTCTACAACTAGAAGTTGAGAAACTTCTGCTTCACTTTCTAGTATTATTTTGTCTTAATAAGATGTAGTCAACATCATGTGTGGTTAGTTTCAAGTGAATCCACTGAAAACTATAGTTGCTAGGGCTGGGCGGTTTCGTTTCGTTAATTCGTAATTCGTTAATAATTCGTTAATTTTTTCAATTACAAAACGATAACGAACCATTCTGAAGCAATTATTAAAAAAAACGAATTTTCAAAAACGTTTTGTAAATGCTTCGTATTTCGATATTGTATTCGTTTCGTTATTGTTTTGAGGTCGTTTCGTTATTATTTCCGCATGTCTGGGCCAGTTTTATGGTTTAATTAGTGAAAAAAAAATTATAATATCACACCAACAGTCAACAACAGAGGGAGAGGGAAGCTTCAGAAGGTTTTGGAGGTTTTTTAGCGTATTTCGCGGTCGCGTCCGCCATTAACGAATCGATTCGTTATTGTTTCAGAAATCGATTCATTAATTTTTTACCATTTACGAAATTTCGTAAATATCGAACTTTTTAAAAGGAAAATTTTGTAATTATTTTAAATATCGAAACAAAAAAACCCCCAAATACAAATCGATTTTAGAAACAAATTTTTCCGTTGTTACCCAGGCCTAATAGTTACTGATGGTGACATGTTAATTAAACCACAGAGAAGGCTAAACAGTTCTGAGTTTGGACAACATGAAGTATTTCCTGTGGAAGCATCCAAAGCTTGAGGAAGGGAAATGGGTACTCTGATGATTGAAGTGTACAAATTTAATTTACTTTGAAGAGACAGAGATCATAACTAGCAGTCCATAAATCAAGTCGCCAAGGAAGCAGTATGAAACCGAGAAAACCAAGACTGGTTTTAACTGTATTATATGGTCACTGTAGAACCATATAATGCAATTTGAACTGCACTGAACATCATGATATGCACTGACCGTATAATACAGTTAAAACAGCAGTACATTCTGAAGAACATGCACAATCCAGTTTCAAAATCCAATTGGCCTACATTAACCTCACCGCCTTCACATTCAAGCCATCTTCTTCATGAAATGAACCATCTCCCAGAGCTCTTATGGCAACATTACACTCAAATTGTTTGCCTGTTTTGTCCCAGCTATCATGGCAAATTGTACCCTGTGCTCTACAGTAGGAAACTTGGACACAACCTTCACAACTTTGCTGCTCTTTGATCAAACGTATAACCATAGAATCACAGAGTGAAGAGATCACATCCAGTCCAATCCCTTGCCATGCAGGAAAAGCACAATCAAAGTACCCCTGACCATCCAGCCTCTGTTTAAAAGCCTCCAAAGAAGGAACTTCCACCAAAATCCAAGGCAGTGAATTCCACTGTAGAACAGCTCTTACAGTCAGGATAAGTAGATAGGATACTTTTAGATAAATTACCAGATTAAAATAATAAAAGGCACCTGGCTAGACAGTTATAGAAAATGAATGCTAGACTAGACATAGTATCCTTCTGTCACCTTTTCTAATTACCATTTATTGAAATTCATACCTTCCTCAGGTGTAGGGATTAGGGCTGGAGTTGGTGTTTCAGTAGCATATGTTGCTGTCAAAATAGAGAAAGCAAAATGTCTGAGAAACAAGGTATTTTTTTTAAAAAAAAATCAAGATTGAGTGATGACATGAGTACCCTCCATTTGAACAGGTATGAAGAACCTCCCACTGCAAATGTTTTGATCTTCAACACTCAGAAGCCCATGTGGCCTATGATAAAGCATTGGGAGAGTTTAGTCAAAAATGCCCAGAAGGCCAAAGGGACTGCATTCCTGCTGTAGGATGTAATTGATCTCCCATATCATTCGCATTTCAAAAGAATCCAAAACCTAGGCATTTTATTTGTGACATAAACATACTTGCCTGTTGGGAGAAGCTTAGAATCTGTGGATACAGGAAGGAAAAGAAATGGATAGTTTGTTAGCTGAACTGTATACATTACAGTTTTGTCCTATGTTATTTCAGTGAAAACCTTCCTACTTAGGACCAAACATTCAACCCTGAGATTGATTACAATGACACTGCAGGATCTTAGTTATATTTGTGAGAAGTTTCACACCTGATGATAGCATTACCAAAATTATATAATAACTAATGGTGATTACTAGGGCTGGGTAACAACGGAAAAATTTGTTTCTAAACTCTTTTCGTTTTTAGGGGGTCCATTGCGTTTCGTTTTTTTAAAAAAATCCGAATTTTTCTTTTAAAAAATTCGTTATTTACGAAATTTCGTAAATTTCGAATTGATTCGTTAATGGCGGACGCGATTGCGCAATACGCTAAAAAAACCTCCAAATGGGACAGGGGGAACTTCTGAAGCTTCCCTCTCCCTCTGTTGTTGACTGTTGGTGTGATAATTTATTTTTTTATCACTGATAAAACAAACAACAACTATAAAACTTGCACCAGACATACGGAAATAATAACGAAACAATTTCGAAACAATTTCGAAACGATTTCGAACCAATTAGGAAACAATTATGAAATAAATTGAAAAATTCATTTCGATTTTTAGTTGCTCCTGCATGGCTCAATATCGGATCGTAAGCTAATTTAAATACGAATCAATAACAAATTACGAAATTAACGAACGAAACCGCCCAGCCCTTACACTATGTAACACATTTTTTGTTCCTGGGTTATAAATGTCTTTTCCCATTTGGGTCTATTGTAACAACATGGAAAAAGTTTATTAAACTGCAAAAACTTTGTTTTTCCGAGACATCATACAGCACATTTTGCTATAGTTTTTCAATGAATATCTCATAGAGTCTCAACCAATTCAACATAATTTGTGACAGCCACAAAAACAGTTTCTTGAGTATAACTACTTTCAAAGTAAGTACCTCACATTTAAATAGGAAATAACACTTTCAAAGCAGGAACAGAAAAAAATCAACTTTTGTTACATACTGTTACTGATATTATAACTAGCAGGCAACTGCTGTCTAATCATCAAGCATTCAAATATTCTGATTATTCAAAATAATTAGTTTTGTCTGCCAACATAACTCTATCTACATTATATTTGTATTTATTAAACTTCCTATTTTATTTCTGTTTGTTATTTATTATAATTGTTTTATTGTTTATTCTATGTATTACATTGTTTTAAAAAGTCAAGATTCTTTGAATGCTTCATTTGAAAAAAAATCAAGTTGTTTGTTTTATCTATAGTTATTTTTGAAATCTCCTTCCTTGATTTATCTGAAGGTTGTTTGAAGTTTAAAACTCTACGATACTTGAAAGAATATGGAGATTACCTGAACAAATGACACTAACATCTTCATTGTGTCCGCAGTCATCTTTTTCTTGCCACCCTTCATACGAACAATCTTGGAGACTGGGTTCACTTCCAGTGCAATTGGAGCCATTCAGTATCTTTCCAGCTCCTTGGCCAAAATAAGACCATCCCAGAACGGTGGTTGCCTCTCCACATCCAAGTTGTCTGCACACTACATGTGCACTCTCCATTTGGAAGTCATCATCACAAACAGTTCCCCAAGTGCCGTTATAAAATACCTCCACTCTCCCGACACATCTGTTCCATGCATTTACTAAACGCAACTCCTGTGCACCTTTCCAAAACACAAATGAAATAGTTGTGGATAAAACAAAAGGACAATAGATCTGAATGTGAGGAAACATAAAGTCATCACATATTTTCACCTAGATCACTGAGTGCTAGAGTTAACTGAATGTATACCTGCTGGAAGGACTGGTTATTATCTATGGTAATCATTCAACGGGATTTGGCGAGAGCTTGAAAAACTAAGGCCCCTTCTACTCTACTCTATATTCCAGGAACTAAACCCAGATTATTTTATTGTCTCAGATTATTTGGCAGTGTAGACTCATATAATCCAGTTTAAGATAATCTGGGTTCAGATCCTGGGATATAGGGCAGTGTAGATCCTGCCCTTCCAGATAGATCCTATATTCCAGGATCTGATCCCAGGTTTTCTGTTTATCCCAGATTATCTGGCAATGTGGACTCATATAATCCAGTTTAAAGCAGAAAACCTGAGATCAGATCCTGAGATATAACATTCCAAACAGCTGAATAAAATCCCACGTATTTCTGCTTTGAACTGAAATATATGGCAATGTGGACTCAGATAACTCAATTCAAAGCAGATATTGTGGGATTTTCTGCCTTAATATTCTGGGTTATATGGCTTTGTGAAAGGGTCCTTAATTGTCAATCACTTCTTAGGGTCCTTCCACACAGCCATATAACCCAGGCCATTTTCACACGACTGCACAAAATCCACACTGAGCTGGATTATATGGCATTGTGGACTCAGATAACCCAATTCAAAGCAGATATTGCGGATTATCTACCTTGAGATTCTGGATTGTATGGCTGTGTGGAAGGATTCCCAGAATATCAAGGCAGATATCTGCTTTGAACTGAATTATCTGAGTCCACACTGCCATATAATCTAGTTCAATGTGGATTTTATTCAGCTATGCAAAGGGGTCTTAGAATACATTTACATAGTCAACATTTCTCTCTTTAACAAAATGCTGCCTTGAAATATAGTGATATAGAAGGGATAGATGAGCAACAGCAACACCAGCAGCACTAGCACAGACCTGTCAAGGTGTTATCTACATGAGTAACATACAATTAGCATTTGAGAAACACTAGTAAAAAAGAGAAGAAATCCACTTCTACGAATAATTAATGATCCCTAAAGATATTAAACATAGTATGTGCAGTATACTATGTTTTCACTATTAGTATCTTGCACTTTTTTGTATAACCGTGCATCATCGTCATCATCCTTATTAATAATAATTATTAAATAATTATTAAATAATTATTATTTTGCTGTGCACCTGAAGTCAATAAAATCATAGGGCCCTTCCATACGGCCCTATGTCCCAGAATATCAAGGCAGAAAATGCCACATTATCTGAGTGTGGACTCAGATAATCCAATTCAAAACAGATCATGTTGGATTTTCTGCCTTGATATTATGGGATATAGGGTTGTGTGGAAGGGCCCATAGGGCCTTTTCACATAAACATATAACTTAGAATATCAAGGCAGATAATCCAGAATAGCTGCTTTGAACTGGAATATCTGAGTCCACATTGCCATATAATCCACTTCAATGAGGACTTTGTACAGCTGTGTGGAGGGGCCATAGAATTATAGAATAATAGGGCTGGAAGAGACCACACAGGCCAACTAGTCTAACCCCCTGCCATGCACAATCAAAGTACCCCCAAAAAATGGCCATCCAGCCTCTGTTTGAAAGCTTCTAAGGATGGAGCTTCAGAATCAGATAAATGGAATCCAGTCAGAGTTTTACTATTTATTTATTTTTTGTTTTCCAGTATATTTACTGTGATTAGATTTACCTGTTTACTAGTTTCAGATAATCTCATATTTATTGGAATTTAATGGCCTAATGACTCACACCAAAATTCAAGGCAATATTACACAGTACCTGGTTCTTGTTGGAGTGCGGAATGTACAAGCAGCATCCCCAATAAAAGCTTAAGGGCACCCATTTTTCATGAGGATTTCTTCTGATCTAAAAAAAGCAGGATGTTTCAGCATTTATAAGAGTCCAAACTGAACCGGAAAATAAGTATTACGCAATTTGATCTGTCTTCTTGTACTTCCAAATCGGTGTGTCAAGGAAGTCAGTGATATTTTCATTTCACAACCTATATCCCTGGAAATAGACAATTACTGATGGTTATTGTTCTGGAGAGGCATTGAGTGGTAGGGTCAGTTTTCAACACTCAAGAAATACCTTTGCAATTACACCTAGTGTTTTGTTATGCAAATATTCTAGGAATTTTTTTTTCAGTGTTGATCACATCAATCTTTTAATATTGTTTTTATAGCAATAGTGATCTCATCACACTAGAGAAAAAATCCACTAGAGACAAATTCACTTAAAATTCGGTTTCTGTCTCCTGCACAATTCTGGCGTTTGTAGTTTAGGGAGGGGACTTTAACAGCCCTACTAAGGTACAAACCCCAAGAATTTTTCCTGAATTTTCCCAAATAAATCTCACCAAAGTTGAAGAAAAGCCGCCAAGTTGTATTTATTTCATCCAGCTGGAACAGATGTCAAACCGCGATAGTTCGTCAGGAGAGACATACATGCAGTGAATTTTATTACATTTTTATAGAAAAACAGAGCTGTCAAAGTTCAAATTTCCCGCCCCCCGCCCCTCAGCCAGCATCTCTCTGATTGGCTGTCATCATCAGCTGGAGGGGAGGCACGGCCGGTGAAGCAGCACCTCAGCCAATCAGAAAGCCGGTGCTGCTTCGAGCTTTCGGCCAATGAGAGCGGAGGAGGCGGTCCTTGGGAAGAACAATGAAGTAAATGTCCAGATGATTGAATTAAAGTGACTTAATGTGTCCAAATGGCCAGTGATAAATCTGTGAATAGATTCCTCAAGCTGGGCAAGTTTCTTGAAAGGTTGAGATATGCAGATGTGGCTGGCACAATTGCCCAGCCCCGATATTTCCCGGTCACAGATATGAGTTCATTGTGTTGTCTTATGTTTTCCTCGGTCCATGGGGAAATGACAAAAGGGAAGGAAGCTGGGACATCCTGGCTTCTTTTGAAAGCAGGATGCCTTTTGTTGGAAGATGACTGGTTTACCAAGAGGCTCCCCCCAAGTGGTCCTGCTCCGAGACTTGGGAGGACAAGGTTATTATCATGCAATCAGTCTTATGTTCAAAACCTTGAATCAATACGGAGATGCCTTGGGAAAAGGGCTACCCAAAGCCGATGTCATGCTGGAAGTGGCTTCCCTTATTTTATGTACAGACATACACACAGGGATCAGGAAGATACATAAAGAATAATAAATCATAAGGGAATTTCATATGCACCCACCCTACCCACCAGAGTCCAAAAGATTAAGTCCATAAGCATAAAATCATAACATCCCTTGACCATGAGAAGGGAGTCCATAGGGCTTGGGGAAAAGTTCCATAAAGTTTTCAAAAGTCTTTGAAAGTTTGGGAAAGTTGTCCAAAGTTGTAAAATCCAAAAAAGGCAAGTGGGAAAAAGGTGTCCCAGTATCCACAGAGTCCCTATGAGCCGGCTGTTGATGTTGAAGATCAGGATCCATCTTTAGAACTACAGATCTCTCCATATCAAGGACCCAGGTGGCCTGTCGACATCTCGAGCTTCCTCTGGGGTGACTGTGACAGTGGTCCAAGATCAACAGGCTCCCTGGACATCCACAAAATGGTGGCAACGAGGCAACATCCTTGGAAAAACAGCTGGGCTCCAGGTTGAAGTTTTAGGGACAAAAAACGTTATTCCTGGGGTGGAAGGGGCAGTGGAGTGAAACCGAGATAGCCATTAGTCTTAGAATTCTCCCAGGAGAAGAATGGCACCATTTTTGAAGCGATCCCTTGACTCGTGGATTTGGGGGCCGAGGGGGTTTCCGAATCCACGGTTTAAGGGAGCGCAGTTTCGGCCTCCCTGAGACACGAAAATCGCAGCCTGGGAGAGGAAAGTTTTATGGAAAGAGAAGTTTGAGGCAGTAAAGGGACACAAAGTAAGCTTACAATTAATTGATACTTTTTTATTGGGGGGATTAGTTACAATGTTAGGAAGGAGGAAAAGCAAAGAAATGAAAAGGGCTTCTGAGTTGCAGCTGCTGCTTGGCCATGTTCATGCAGTTGGCCCAAGTGGGGCATTGGAGAACTGAGGAACTCTCTGCTGCAGGTCAGATCAGCTTGAAGGCAGGGAGTTCTGCATTCGGCCTCACCACATGTCAGAAAAAACTTGAAGGCACACAACAACAACATCCTAAACCTAATCCTATGATTAGATAGCACAGAGACATGACTTTTAGTCTGGAATCATAGTGCCATAATTGTGTAGTATGAAAGTGTCCCAAATAATTGTTTTTCAGAGTGAAAAACTAGATGATCTTGTTCACCATGCAAATCATCTTCTGGGCATCACAATTCAAGAAGGGCAACCAAAATGGTCAAAGGTTTGAAAGCCAATCCTATGAGGAATGGCTTAGGGAGTTGGGTATGTTTAGCTTGCCGAAGAGAGGTTAAGAAAGAACAAGAGAGCCATATTTTAAATTCATTTGAAAAGATACCTTATTAAGAAGGAAGCAAGCTTGATTTCTGCTGCTCTAGAGACTAGGGATCTTGATATTCTGGGATATAGGGCTGTGTGGAAGGGCCTAAAGTTATCTGAGTCCACACTCAGATAATGTGGGATTTTCTGCCTTGATATGCTGGGATATAGGGTTGTGTGAAGGGCCCAAAATTATTTGAGTCCACACTCAGATAATGTGGGATTTTCTGCCTTGATATGCTGCGATATAGGGTTGTGTGGAAGTGCCATCAGAAATAAAGCAACAGATTAAAACTACCTAAACCTTAGGAAGAAAATCCCGATTAAGAGTTAAGAGCTGTTCAAGACTAGAAGATGCTGCTGTATCTAAGTGTGGTGGAGTATTTATTTATTTATTTATTTATTTGCTATACTTGTATACCGCCGTTTCTCAGCCTAGCCGGCGACTCAACGCGGTTTACAAAAACTTATAACAAACAACAGTATACAGTTTAAAAGCATAAAAACACGATCCACAATACATATATCAATAAACAATCCAATTCATCTCTTGACTAAAATCGCGATCCAGTTTCGTCGTCCAAATTGCCAGTCCTTCAATCATTACACTTATTGCACTGAGTTAACCGAACGCCTGCTCGAACATCCAGGTTTTTAGTCTTTTCCGGAAAACCATCAATGAGGGGGCTGATCTTACCTCCATGGGGAGGGCGTTCCATAGCCGCGGGGCCACCACAGAAAAGGCCCTGTCTCTCGTCCCCGCCAGCCGCACCTGTGAAGCAGGCGGGATAGAGAGCAGGGCCCCCCCAGAAGATCTTAGGGTCCTGGTGGGCTGATAGGCCGAGATACGTTCGGATAGGTAAGTTGGGCCAGAACCGTTTAGGGCTTTAAAGGCCAACGCCAGCACTTTGAATTGAGCCCGGTAGCAGATCGGCAGCCAGTGGAGCTGGTGCAGCAGAGGAGTTGTATGCTCCCTGCGCTCCGCTCCTGTTAGTATCATGGCTGCCGCGCGTTGGACTAGTTGGAGCTTCCGAGCCATCTTCAAGGGCGACCCCACGTAGAGAGCGTTGCAGTAGTCTAAACGGGATGTAACCAGAGCGTGGACTACCGTGGCCAAGTCAGCTTCCCAAGGTACGGGCGCAGTTGGCGCACGAGTTTTAACTGTGTGAATGCTCCCCTGGTCACCGCTGAAACCTGGGGTTCCAGGCTCAACGATGAGTCCAGGATCACACCGAAGATGCTGCTGTATCTAAGTGTGGTGGAGTATCCTTCTCCAGAAATTTTTAACCAGAGGCTAGATCTGTTGGTAGCGCTTTAATTGTGTATTTTTGTTAGACTGAATGATCCTTGTGGTCTCTACAATCACTATGATTCTATGACCTTATTTGATTTTAAGAATCAGACTAATGTGTTCCAATACTAATGGAGTACTGCCATGCACTGTGGACAGATCACATGATGTTAAAACTTTTTTTGTGTGTTCTGAGACATCATGTAATAATCAGATGTCAGTGGTGCCAACATTTACTTTGCGTGCAATATTTTTACTGGAATTAAATTACAGATGCCAAGGACAATAGATAACTGATTTTTTTTGTATTTTTCATAGACATTGACAAAACTAAATGTGCTTAGTCATTGATCCAAATATAATAGATACGTTTAAATAAGCCAAAATGGGAAAAGGGTGGAGGTGACATCAAGATTGACCTTTTTGGCCTTGGCACAGCCATTGAATGTTTCCTGTAATAACATCTATTTTAAAAACATCCATCCAAGTTCTCTATGAAACAAAAGGCCTTGTTTTAGTTTACTGCCGGGATTCTGCTCCTGCTGTGAGCATTGCTTTGTGTAAGAAAACCTATTGTTTTCATTTCTTTCTAAACTTCTTTTCCCTTCAGTCTTCACATTAAACACATAGATCTAAATAAGAACAAATTGTCAGAAGTCATTTCCTTGTCTTTGAGTGCCTGGGTCCAGTTACTTCCTTGTATTGAATAAAAAAATATTCTTGACTATGGGCTCACATTAGAAACATAGTGTGTTTTTCTTATTCTCAAATTAATTTTTAGGATTTTAAGACTCAAGAATCATGAGACATGGAGGAAACATTTTTCAGAATGATTGTCCAAATGATTTTAATTCTCTGCTGAGAGGATTTCTTTGGAATAATTTATTGTGCTTACTGAGTGCGTAATCCAGTAATTAATGAGCCAATTTTTGGTTTTCCCCTGACATGAAGTCTAGTCATGTCTGATTCTGGGGGTTGGTGCTCATCTCCATTTCTTATTCAAAAGAGCCAGCATTGTCTGTAGATGTCTCCAAGGGCACGCAGCTGGCATGACTGCATAGAGTGCCATTACCTTCCAGCCAGAGCGGTACCTATTGATATACTTAGATTTGCATGATTTTGAACTGCTAGATTGGAAGAAGCTGGGGGTAATAGTGG